GGGTCTTTACACTCCTTCTTGGCCCCTAACAATGAAATTTTCCTCTATTCATCATCACACTAATTTGTGTTTCTTTATCAACAGAATGTAAAGAATGGAGAGACTGTGCCTCCACTTCATTCCCTCTAACTTTCAACTACGAGCAGCAGTGTATCCCAGGCGTTTTGAAGACGATCATCTGGCTCCTTCATGGCCCTCAGAACAGTGCAGTGGGGCTTCAGTCTCCTGCGGGAGATCTGCGTTACTGTCCGCCTGAAGACAAATGCAACAGCATCATCCTCCTAAATGTGTCCCATGTTAACTCCGGCATCACTCTCGGGCAGTTTTGTCCAAAGGGAACCATTCAGAAAATCCAAATCCGTGAATCCAAGATTGCAATAACTGCCTCCGTCACGAGTTTCAATGACCGGAATTTGGCAACTAAACCCATCTTAACCTATTCATTTACACAAGACATATCAGGCAAGTGCTTTCATTATACATCCATAAATTGGTAGTGTACCTGCTCTGATATCTTCAGTGCAAGTGGCTTGATAACAAAAATCAGTTTTCAAGTCTTTACTGTTCTGCCTTCCTCATACAGAGCACTATATATTCACTGTGGCACCAAAAATGGATAACCCTACCGTGTTGGCGACTCCAGCCTGGCCGTCTGGCATGAAAGCGTCTAGCACGGTGTCCTGGATTGTTAACCTGGAGCCTCAGTTTAAAAGCAATCTAAAGTTCAGAAATGTCAGCCAGCCCAAGTGTAAGGAGGTGCACACAAACATCGCAGTGCAGACCATTCGCTCTCAAACGACGCTGTACAGCACTAAAAAAGATGAGAAGATTAAGGATCTCCTGATTCCAGAAAGTTTTTATCTGAACATGACTAACTGCAAGTCACCGACAGGAGCCTTCCGGGCGATGATGGAGATCACGCTGCAAAACAGCACAAGTGAGACAGCCTTCCCCGGCAACTTACCTTCTTCTGTTCACTGAATTCCCATTCGAATTTCCATGTAAGAAACACTTTAAGAAAAGATGAAGTGAATTTTATTGTCATGTTTTCAGGTAAGCTTCTGGGCATCATCCTGAGTATTGTGGGAGTTGTGTTGGTGATTGTAACAGCCGTGGGGATCTGGTTTGTTCTCAGGTGAGAGTTATAAACAGGTTTTAAATACAGCTGCAAGCAGCAATTACAGGGGTTCAAGCACTTTAAGGCCTTTAGGCGCATGCATAGATATTGTATGTTATTTAATAAGCCCGTAACTGCCTAAATCTGAGATGAAAAAAGACGTTTATATCAATGTCAGGTAATTTACCATAGAACTTAGTGCTGTCAAACGATTAATCGCATCCAAAATAAAAGTTTTTGTTTACATAATATACGTGTGTGTGTACTGTGTATGTTTATTATGTATAAACACACACATGAAAAATATGTTTTGTTTATATATATATATATACATATAACATTCATATTTATATATAATATACAGTGGGGAAAAAAAGTATTTAGTCAGCCACC